TTCGTCGAAGTGAATCTCTCCTCTAGAGAAGCGACCGTACCACCTATAGAAGGTGGCGAAGAAGGTGCAGTACTGTCCATCGATGACTGCGATTCATTTCGGGCTTGAGTGGCTGAGCGGCCAGAATCGTAGCAATGAAGTAGAAGACGTCGATACCCGTCGATATATCGTGTCGGTCGGACATAATTCAAATGACGATAACTCACTTCCAAAGATAAAGTGCAATGCGGTTCTCTTGTTTTGACGATCTATCAAGAGTGCCCTTTTCCTGTCCTTTTTTCCGTGGATCTGCTTCATCTTTTTCTTGCGCAACATGGTTGCGAAATTCATGACCAAAATTTTTGCAAAACTTTTGGGACATCCTAACATATGTATATGTATCCGTGTGAAAGTGGCCTGCTGTCCACACCCTCCCAAATTTGGACGCTTCGGTGCAGAACAGGATTTTATAAATTTCCGGCCAAACACACACATTTCGTGGGCCGCTTGCCCCTCATGAGCGAATCCTGCTCAAGTCATGTGTGTTTAAGTACCTTACAGTACCTTACTGAGTACCTTACTTGTAGTACCGTGTCATCTGCCATCAGCATTCCCGTACTGTCGCCTGTACATTTATCGAATCTGTGCGATCTAGGTCCAACTTGACAATTTTCGCGCACGCCTCTCGCGCAGAGCCCATTATGCTACCTGCCATTAGTGATTCCATTCTGCCGCCTTACTCCCACTTGAACGGTCAAGGTCCACGGGAAGAGATTTGCAGTCAAAGGTACACCGTTATACACACAGGACTATCATCACTCCTTCCCTTTGCTTCTCAAAAAAATAAGTAGTGAGTCGTAGCTCCATATCGAGTAGTACAAATCGGGACTGGTCAATATCGTTTGCCATTATCGATCACTGCGTTTACTGCTATATTCCCTCAACGTCTCTTCAACGTCTTCGGAGTTGAAACATTGCACCGCTCAAGGGAACAACGTGGCCACTGATCGCTCATTTACACAACAGCCAGGTATGGCAAATTGGCATATCGGCCAACATCCCCACAGCGCAAATTTTATCGCACCTGGAAGGGAGTAAAGCCGTGGATTGACGGTGATAATGTGGAAAGCTTCTGAACAGCATTGTCGGCTTTGGACTCGACAGTATCCACTGCTGCCGCCTCTTTCCCTTCTAAATTCGAACTTCGAAGGAACAATTTTCGCGCATATCGATCCCCCCGTAGGCGGAATCTACACCTGGCTCCAGCCAATAGCAAACACATTATGCCGCCTACTTTAAAAATTTGAACTCTAAAGTGATTGTTGTACACCTGTACACCTACCAAATCTGTACAATCTAGGTCCAACTCGACAATTTTTGCGCATGCCCCTCTCCCTTCGGGGAGCGTCTAGTTTTCCACCTACTTTCAGAGTTTCCATTCTTCTCCTGTACTTGCGCCATGTTTGAACGCTCTAGGTACACGGAAACAGGAATTATGTACTCCCGTTTAAAACCACTCTTATCGCACGCCACAACCTCCGTGGGCAGAGCCTGGCTCAGATCATGTGTTCCTGAGAATCTACTCATTCCCCATTCGTTTCATTTGGATAATTTGTTTCGCTCAAAAAAGCGCAGGCGTTTATAAGGTTGATAAACATATCAAGAGACAAACAGACCGACAAACGCACGAACATTTGTGGTTTATACATAAATAGCCTTTGGAAATCGTTCAGGACTTTTTCTATAAACTCCAACTCTTTTTAATCTCTTTCTAAAACAATTCAGAACACCACTGAATAATCAACTTTAGCATCGCCCACCTCAGTGCAAACCCCGCCCACTTAGGGGATTCGACCACATATCTCCTAAAACCTCCACCCAGTCTTTTCCGCGCTCTAAAACATTTTTGAACAGAGTTATCAATTTTTGACCTCAGCTCCGCCCACCCCACTACGAACTTCAGCCACTTTGGAGATTTTACCACATACATCATCTATGACCTCCTACCACCTTTTTTCCGCGTTCTGAAATGTATTTCGACGAAGTTATATATAGTTTTAAAAAGTCTCTTCTGCTTGAATGCACGCTCCGCCCATCGTAGGCGGAGCTTCGCTCAGGTTGCACATGCCCAGCACGTATTAGTTCTTTGCCACTCTCTTTATTGTTTTTCTGGCCTCCGCGCCTTTGTTGAACTAAGTTATGAATTAATCCGATAAGTACCGCCCATTTTGAGAATGCTCCGCCCATAAGAGGTGGGCCTCGTTCATCTGATTTGTTGACTCTGTCCTCACCTTTGTCTAATTTTCCCCGTATCTGGACCTTTTTCGAAGCCAAAATAAGACGTTTGGCTATTCGCACCGCCCATTCCGGCACTTGTGCCGCCCCCTGTGGGCGGAGCTCCGCAGAGTTCCTATGTGCTCTGTTGATCTTATCTCAGCCTCCACCCATACCGTACTTGTCCCGACCTCTGAAGATGTTTTTTCGGGCAATGTTAAATTTCCCGTTGAACATACAAACAACAAACATACATATATACATACGTAGGTATATACATACATATATACACACCAAACTGTGGATTATAAAGGTTGTAGTAGTTGACTAACTCTCTACTCCATCTTTGAAACAAATAGTATTCTCCTGTACTCGAAGTTTGACACAGGACTCAAACGGCAGTAGAAATGGTATTCAGTGTGGGTCGGTGATTACGCCTTTTACTAGAAGTCTCGATCTTCTACTCTCGTTCTTAATAGTAAATATCCTTTAAAAACTCAACTGTTAGGCAACGAACCTTGGGTCACAGATATTGCGAGTGATGACCATTATTAGATGTCGTTATCAGTGGTCCCTTTCCTTTACGGAGATATCATTAGCTGAGGACTCCAGATTACTGCGGTCGGCTAAGTTTTGTCGCAAATTCTATCGAACGAAGAGGATTCTTCATTAGGTCATAAACCTTGCTGCGTAGCGGTTGTAATCTAGTTGCAAGAATGAACAAAGTTCTCATATGCTTATCGTACTGCCGTTAATTAGTCCCTATCACTGCATTTACCACTCAATTTTGTCACCCTACTCTATCATCCCATCTTATGAATGCAACATACTGAACAGTCAAAGCTACCGTAACGGTAAGCGTGTTCAAACCCAAATATATTCAGCTTTTCACATTCCGTATCTAGTTGGAGTTTATTGATTCTGGGTCATCGCGTCTCATGTTTATATTCCAAACACTGTTTCTAGATGGACGGAGGAAAGCCAATCGAATGGGCGGAGCGAAAGCGAGGATGTAGATGAGGATTGAAACGCTTGGAACGCGCCACGAACGGCCAAGGGACCATCGTTTACCCCCTCAATTTTCTCTCAGGCTCTTCGATTCGTTGATCACACCCCGGATATTTCATGACTACGTACATCCATGTCATGAAGGCACCTTATGAAAGTTCACACTGACATTTAAAGAATGTGATTAATGATGTGTTATATCGTCGTGGAGCGATTGGGTCGACTCGTGGCCATCTAACAGTAGAAAGGGGTTCCGGTGCTGAGAGGACATCGATCCTTTAGTGGTAGCAGCGTGTGCGTCTTTATTGAACCCTGCGATTCACCGCACTCCCTTCCTCTTTTAGAAGGATACCTCACGGGATTAGCCAGTGAGGAGACCGGTATAGGCCTTTACCAGGGGACGAACGTGTAGGCAAGACTAAAATGAATAGCGTTAGTCGTCTGGCCAACTTCCAACGCATTCTGGTCCTTTCAACCTGCCTGATACGTATCCCGCATTTAATGCACATTCGGTTAGTCGGTGATAACTCGCCATGAGGTGATTTGTGAAACACCAGGGTGGAAGCAATCATAAGGACAGCCCGTCGATTGTAATTTTCATAAAGTAAATCAACGATCTCGACGAGCATTGTTATTGAGTAAAATCTTATTTTGAGACTACTTCATACTTCGTTTTTTAGAACTTTTTTCTCTTCTCAAATTCACACCAACGCGGGGTTGCAGATGACAGTCTCGCGTAGATTTCTGTGTTCCTCGCTTCTTTCATTTGAGACTCCGCTGTGACTCTATTTACATCGCATCATGAGTGACACGTGCGAGCCACGGTCTTTCCTCTCTCTCTTTTATCTTCGAATTCACCCTGAATGTCCAAGATATCGTAATCTGGTGAGGCGACGACAAGGATTTCTTATCTTCCTGTGTGACGTTATGACGTCACGTTGGAACACGAAGATCTTCTAATTAGCGACCATATGGGGGAGCCAAGTGAGTTAAGTTCTGGAAAACAAGAGGGCCATTCCTTTTTCCCAGTAAAGTCGGGCAGCTGTCGTCGGCACCTCTCGCGGGCAAGCTTGGCTCTGCGGCCTGGAGTAGCGTCCTGCTGGAAGGACTAAGGGATGTTTCAGGAAACGCATTCGGATCATTGCTTCATTACGTCCATCAGTACGCTTTTTGGGTACTGGTGTTGGTCAATTTTCACGTCTGCACCGAAGAAACCATGCGCGTATTACCCTTCCCAGTGACTTCCTCAAAAAACAACATTTTACTGTTCTTATAACGACCTTTTTGTGAGAAGTACACTATTTGTGAGACTTGCTAAAGTCAGGAATTCCCTGAATATATACTTTAATTACCTTCATACGTAGCCACTACTGGAATGTTCTTGTCACTTGCGATAACACAGTACAAACCCCCCATAGCACTCATAAATAAACGGTTGGCGAAGGATACGCAGCATAGTATGACGATCTCATAACTCAACCGTCACCATCTAATTCCGCTGTTGTAGGCAATCTATGTAAGAACATCTGTTCCGCAATGATTACATTTAATTGTTTGTACCGAAACAACCGAGGTAATCCAAATGTCATACTTGTGTGAGATCCTTGGGATTTAGCGATAGATCAATCATCGGACGCTTTGTCACGGTTTCAATCAGTTTACGCGCTTCCTCGCAAAATTTCACATGTTCAGCTCTTTTTTCAAACATTACAGGCTGCCGCATCAGTCCTGAACGTAGACTATGAAACTAAAAAGGTTATATTCCAAATTATTCCAAATTCTTCACCTTGTAACTCATTGGCAGTTATGAGTGGAAGCTTAGAGAGTATCTGTCCCACAGGATCCCATTTTGCAAATTCCCTCAAAGCACGACATGCCAGGGCACGGGTCTGATCAGCATCGGCTATGGGAAAAGTGAGTCGGATCACTGTCAGCAATATCTGAAAGAATTCTACTCAAAACTGTACCGAGTAATAAAAAAGAAAACGAATACTGACGTTGATTCCGTTGTATCTGCGAACGGTGCTCCAGATCTTTTCCTGCGTTTCTTTGTTGTAAAGAGCGACAAAGGTGCAACGACTGCGACGACCATCTTTGTCTTTCCTTTCACCGCCTTCCGATCGCAAAGGCTGAATTTCGGATTTCTATAATAGCTGGTGGCCAAGGCTCTGGCGTAAAAGCGAATTACTTTAGGCAGTTCTTCTGGAACGGAAATACAGTTTATCAATACTTTGAGAGCGGCCAAACGGAGATCCGGCTCGGCTAATATGACTCCTCCTATGATTTCCATTAAAATCCTGAACGAATTCGAGTATGAGTGATAAGACTGATTGATGCTTGACGACAAAAGATTTCAGTAGCTTCCACGTTTGAACTATTGAAATCTGTGTCATCGATAAGTCAAAATAAAAACAACAATATCTTTCGAAAATAACAAGAATCTTACTGGAAGCCATCAGCGTCATGCCCATTCGGCAAGCGCATGGACTCGCAAAGTTCAAGATGTACTTTAGGAACACATGAACATAACCACAATGTGGTCAAGGCATTATTGGCGGTTTCGTACCTAAACAATGGGATGAACAAAAGACAGTAAACTTTTTAGAAACAATATCTGCTACAATTTACCGCCCAGCATGACCCATTTCATGTGTCAGTACCACCACAGCGAACAGTGTTTTGATCAATCCCAACTTTCTTGCATCGTCAACTGGCTTCCAACCGGAATTTGAAGCCCGCAAAGCAGTCATCAGCAGATAGACTCCTTCATTGAAAGAATCTTCATCCATCATCATGGTCTGTAATTGAAAAAAATGATCTTCAAGGAATCCTAGACCTGACCAACCTTATATGAGCGATGATTGTAGGGTAGTCCAGCAGGGTAACTACATCCCGCTTGCAGAATTCGATTGCCAACCGTTCGCCTGATTTGCTCCAGTTTGACAAAGAGGTGTGCCGAAAAGTAGCTAAAAACATAAAAGTTACTATGGATACCCGCAGACGTGAGGATATGACACAACAACGAACGTTCTAAAAGCAGCGGAAGCGTTGCGTATGGCTTGAGAGCTGGTTAAGTGTTGTTCTTCCGTCAAGTCGATCTTGTCTTTATTCGCCTCCTGTAGCAAAGTGAGCGTGGATATCTAAAGTGAGCATTTCACTGATCGCTCGTTTCGAATTGAAGATCTAGTTCATACGTAGTTGTACAACTTCCTAAGACCATCTCGCTGATCAAAACGCTCCAAAATAGGCTTATAGTAAAATCCATGAGTGAAAAACATCGCAGAGCTCCCCATTCCACTTTCATAGCTGTGCTCCAAACACCATAGAGCATATCTGACAGTATGTTACGAATACTTGCCAACAAAAAGTTTGTAAGAGTCATGTTATACACTACTTACTCTACAACATCGTCGAGAACTTTTTCGCTCAACTGACACATTTTCTCCATCACATCATCGTTGTACGACATATAATACAAGGCAGTAATGGCAGCGACAGAAGCCATCGAGGCACGAGGAACACGCAAAAGGGCCACCACACCGCCACGAGCTATGAACTCCATCGCGAATTTCCGATGAACCAATAAAGAGGTGAGATACTGAAAGCAACACGAACGACTAGTAAAACATTAGGGGGTGACCATCGCAACTGAGAGGGAAGCGAAGTACTAGAGAAGATACTATGCCCGATAAGAAAAGAAAAACTGGAAACAACTGAACCTACACGAAGGGCATCAAAAGTCAGGCGAATGTCATGTATTTTCTTTAAGTCGATGTACTCCAAAATGAGATCCATAGCATGACCTTCTATTGCAAGATTCAGTAACTGAAAAAAATTCTAACTTCCAGGTAACGATTCAAGAGTAGGCGCTACCAAGGCTGTTTTTACACCAGTCACGGTAGCACCTTTCAATTGCGTAGATTTGCTTTCCTATCACCACGTGCCCTTACTTTTTTCGATGCGTAATAACGGGGGTCGTATGTAGCCCCTCAGACGCAATTGCAAACTGCTACCGCGAGTTGTAATGGATGCGATCCTTCATCAAGAACATTTTTACCTACATCTTGATATTCTCCAGTTGGATTGAGGTATTGTAAAATGAAACGCTGATGCATCGTTAGCGATAGAGGATACACCTGTATCAAAAATCAGAGTTTATTAGACCCAAGGTGTATATGTAACTGAAAAAAAACTAAACAGCACTCTCAGAAATGAAACACTGAACACAACTAGTGAGGAAAATACCTTATGAGTCCCTATAACATACGGTTGCACCATATTCCACGTGCTGTTGCTATTTTCCAGGTTATGAAGTGATGCAAAAGAGGGCACTTTAAAGCAATTTTCAGAATCTTTTCTTTCATTCTGAAACTTCATTAGTTCAGACGAAACAATGGAAAACAAGAGCAATCTGAGCAATCTCAGTGTAGCAAGAACAGGCAACTGAATAAAACAGGGTAGGAGAGCATAAAAGACTGCGAAACAGTTGTCATATTACCTTCGAAATCAGATGGAGTAGTTTCATGGAATGCAAAACCGTCTCTTTTGTATATCTTAGTTTTATGACCTTTCAACTATATCTTAAACAGATGAAGGTTTGTGCTTCAGAACTTCGTTACTTGATTTCACTTTAATATGTTAGCCAAAAATTTCAGAAAAACAAAACTATACCCCATTACTACACCGATGAGACCCCGAAATTAAATCTATTTTGGGTTGATTTCGCGATATAAAGTAAAGGGCATGACAATAAAGTTGTGGAACGGGATTGGACAAAGCGAAACACTCGCCTTAGACATTTTTTTCCTTCTCTTAGCTGGAGGTGGCGAGTCATGTTTGGGACTTCCCTTTGGTACTGCAGCGGTTTGAACCCGGAGAGATGGTACTTAAAAAGGAAAGTTTCTGCTCTGTAAGAAAATATGAGCCGCAACGCAACGCAGCCGAATCAAATAACTGGTATACCAACTATAAGGTGAGAAAGAAAAATGAAGGAAGAGAAAAATCATCGATTACCACGAAGTTTATTTAACTCGCACGAGACCAGATCGTTGACGTTCTTATGATGATCACTAAATTGGGTGTTTTCATTGCTAGATCCTCCCGCCTGCCCATCCTAAGAAAACAAGTAACCTTGAATCTTATTCGGAAGAAGTTTTACGAAGCAAACTGACTGACAGAGCTCGTATCCTCCATGTCGAAACCGTTCACATTAGAGAATGGTCCCGGAGAATTACCGCTGCGCTCAACTGCAGTGGTCAGATCCTGCTGTTCCTGCTCTGTTTGACACATTTCTTCCAACATACGGGCCTGAGAGAAGCGAAACTCTATTCGTAATAAAAAAAAAACTCATATTAATCAGCACAGGGGCAATTGTTTGGAAATATCTTACTTTCAGCTCGGTGAGCCTTCGCAGTGCAACAGGCATAAGATCGATATTGTTTAGGCGATATTTGTGAGCGTTTCCCTGAACTTCAAGGGCTCCTGCAAGAAGCCCAATTGCATAAGCTCGTAAGATTTCGCTAGAGCTGTCTTTTGCCCATACATAAAGTTGAGGAATGAAGTCACTCGGTTCCTAAAACACTGACAATGACGCGGCATAGGGTTCGAGGTTAAAGGATAGCAAGAAGTCAGAGAAACACTATCAGTGATAAAACACATGAATTGAACGGAGTATTACGGAACCTACAGAAAAAACCACATTGGCGTCCAACCCAGGAAGACAGTCAAGCAGTAGTCGGGCTGCAGCAATGCTTAGATCCAGGTGATCACGTCCGAGTAAGTAGGTTATAACAAGCTTAAATTACAAACATTCTGGAGTCCGTCATGCTCACTATAGAAAAGATGGGATTAAATTATCTAATAAATTACTTGAAGCCAAACCAGAACCTTGTTCATGAAGTCGTCATTGCGAAACAACATTTTCAGAAGGTTTCCAAATTCAGCATGTGGATGAGATCGCGCTGGATGACGATCATCGAGTGGATCAGGGTCGAGTTTGAGGAAATCATCAATTGAGTGTTCAATGATTTCTGCTATACTAAAAGTAAAAAGGCATAGCTCAGTAGAGCAATTGCGATGAAACTTTGATATGAATCCCTTTACCTAGTAAGGGTCGGTAGAGGGTCGAATCCATCGGCCCTGTGCGCGCCATCCCATGATTTCAATATGGCTGACAAATTTTCCAGACCAGGACTAATTATCAACTCTTTAGTGTTTGGTTCAAGCACGACAGTGGTTCGCGGCCCATACTGATAGTCGTCCGGATCGAAGCGTGCATCATTCATCTGCAATTACTAGTTTGGAATCCAAATCAGAGGTAAGAACTGGAGCTGAGCGAAGATTCCTAATTTCTCTAATTTTCATTCTTAAGACTCCATTGCTACAAATACACATGAGAACTAGCTGTAAATGTGAGGCGCTGATCTTCGTTGATGCTCAAGATTCTCCCTACATCAAGAATACAAGCAAAAAAAAGGTTAAATTGAAAATGATGACAAAGCAAAGTGGAAAGTGACGATGGCATCACGGAATAACTGCTAAAAGAGGTACGAAGATCGACGTTCACGACTCTGTTAGCTGAAAATCTCAAACAGAATAAATCGGTTTGTAATCTTCGTTCGTGACCGCTTCTACGGAGGCAATAATCTTGAATCAAAGAAACTGATTTATCACATTATTTTGCTGCCTTAGTCAAAGCATTCCTGATGTTGATTGAAGCGAGTTTTCCTCAATCCATAAGAATAATACCAGCTTCGATGCACAGTGCCGGTATAAGGGGATATGAAAAGGTAAGATTTTTAGGTGCTCCCGTACGGAAGCGGCTATCTATACATAATTGATTCACGATCCTAGTAGCCATATATTGAAAAGGATTAAAACATTTAACCATGGGTGGTAAAAACTATCCTTTTGCTGTGTTGGAGAGCAGTTCAAACCGAGGGCACTTCAATACGATCTTTGCAAACTGATCACCAGTGAAGTACATGGTTTCTTGAAGAGCATTATGTAAGTTGAATGAAAAATATTGCTGCAAAAGGTAGTTTCTCCTTCATTTCAAGTTTTTGCAAAAGCTTAGCATCTCTTCCACCCCAATGTTCCTCCCTTCTTCAGGCTCAGGCAAAAAGCCAAGAAACCCACTTACCCAACTAAACATCTTTCTCAAGCACTGTCACAAGCCTGCAAGGCCTGGGCCCTCAAACGCTATGCCAGAGATGTAGAGCACAGTAGAATTACCCCCAGCGCCACCTCCCATTCTTCCTTGATCCAAAATACACAGTGGATCAGTGAATGCAAATCTGAGCCTCGTAGGTGCCTTAAACGCGGAGCAGCCGTGGTTCATTTCGTTAGGCAGAGACTTTCTCAACTTTCTGAGAACAATTTCCTTCAAATACTCAAGGAGAGAGCCACCAGAATCGATACACTGTATTATTGCTCTCTTTAAGATAACAATGACCCGAACCAACACTTTGTCGCGGACCACTGCTCATTTAGAAGAGGTAAATGTGCTTGATCGCACTTACAAAGTCCACGTTCACCTCGTTTATATCCATTATTGGCTGAGAAAAATCGTAAATTCAAAATGATCGGTCACTTTGAAAATATGTACAATAAGATACTGTTCTTGTATCTTGAAAGCACACACTGATACGTACTCGTTTCTACAAGAGATTTGCCTGAAAAAACTATAACGGACATCATGAAAGAGGCTCATAAACTTCAAGTCCAACTAATTAAGGATCAATTCTAAAGAAGAACCCATACGAGACTCTTGAAATAGAATAATCCAGCCGAAACTGGTATTTTTCAATGCAACGCAGAGCTGTCAAAATTCAAACACAAAACAGACCTAAAAAACTGTTCATTTCTAGAACCATGCAGTCTTCGATGAGCACCTTAAAATTACAGAGGCAGAGTTCTACCGCATGAGCTTAGCTGGTATAGAGTATTTTCTATAAAAACATGAGTTAAACCTCATGTGTCAGAGGTTGGCGAAACAACTTCGTAGTAGAGTAGCGACATATTAGTTGTCCACCACAACAACATAACGCAGGACAACATAACTATATGGAGTAATGTAACCCGCCCGAAAGTAGACGAATAACATAAACTATAACGTAAGGACCGTAGGGACCTCTCAGCAGTACGAGCAAACCTGGACGTGAGTTACGTTGACCGGTGACGGCAGAATAGCGGAAGGGCACAAAGGGCCTCTTCAGGATTCTGCAAAATTTTTGCAGACAATGTGATTTTTTTCACGGCTTAACCTTAACTAAATGAGCAAATTCTCACCCGCCAATTATACAGCCCATGGAAAGGGGATCTTGGGCAAGGAGAGGAATTGGGGAAACGACCTCTCGGTGCTAAGTGAGCTGGGGGGGGGGGGGGGGGGGCACGCGGCGCGGCACTCTGCGTCTCTCCAGCGAGATAGTGGATAAGCAAGAGAAGTCGAGCCCGTAACGGTGTTTGAGCGTTTCATAGCTCTTTTATGTTATAACTGCGTATTTTTCACCTAATTTTAGGAAGGGGAGGGGCTCCGGGGTGGGTGAGCCAATTGGACGTTCAGCTTTTATCTCATCTCAGCTTCTTGCACGAGATAACCATCTCACCCACCCCGCAGCCCCTCCCCTTCTTAAAAATAGGGTTTTATCGGCTCAGAATAAGAGTATCCATAATAAGCAAGCATATATCATGTGGAAGATGTAATTTGTTTTGAATCACGAAACACTTCAGCACGACCGCACCATCCCTTCCCAGACTCAGGCCCAGTACTACTATCTCGCCGAGGAGGGTGCAGACATAAAAAGGCGCCGCGCCGCCGCGTGGCCCCTCCCAACTCACTTAGCACCACGTCTCTTCACGGTCGCTGGACTGTTGGCAATCCGATATTATTTCGGAGAACCGCACGGAATTGTAGTGCTGCAGGAAAACGTGCTCAGTTGTTGTACGTCTTACTCTCCTCCGAAGCGTTCTCGTCAAGGGGTAGAAATCCAAACGGTTGTTTGAATCAAAGATGGGTGAAAGAAGGGGTTTTACCAATCTAAAAAACCTTTTAAATTGACGAAGGAGAAAAAAGAGTAAAGAGTGAGAGTGACTGCGATGTGACCAGGAAGGTTCATTTCGGTTGACCAAACTAAAAACTTCGAAGAAAGTAAGGCATCTGAATAACTGTATAAAATTCTCACATTGATAAAGCATATATGTGATCTGACACGGGATTCATGCTTCACTGTTGCTCCGTACCTCTTTTTGTCAGTGAAAAGTGAAAAGTACAACACTGTTTGTAGATATGCAGCAACCTAGTCTCAAGGTTTTATTAGTTCGCAACTTACAATTAGTTACTTATTGCACCATGGTAAAAGGGAGGATGAGCTCTTCCGTCGGCGCTCTATCCTCGTGGAGGTGGGATGCCTATTGAAGAGGACGCAGAGAAAACGACAAAAACGCTGTGTTCACTCTCACTCTTCCAGCGAAATGACAACGGCCCTGCGGCCCTGCAAACCTGATATCAGTTGATTGTGTTTCGTGTATATCATACTACTTGGTCAGTATCCGCGTTCTTTTCTTGTTGGATCGTTCTAGCAGCTCTTCGTTCATTGTTTAGCTCTCTGAGGTCTTGTGACTTCAATTCGCATTTTATGGAACTCAACAGTCCGTCATATGTATATGATTGTGTATTGTGACTCTCTCGTGTTGAAATAAAAATCGCAGACGATAACTTACAACCGCTTAAAACCAACCGTTTTCACCAACACATTCATGTTTTCTGAGTGACTATTGTGATACTGGTTCAGCGCAACTTTCTTTTCAGGAATTATGGCAGTATTTCATGATGAAGTGGAAATCGAGGATTTCACATATGACGAGAAAAATGAATTATACCACTACCCATGCCCTTGTGGTGATCGATTTGAAATAACAAAGTGAGCGCTTTTGAATAAGCCGGCCTTCCTTACCCATTTTACGTTTTTATATAACTTCTGGGTGCGGGGTACACACAGCGCTATGAATTGATCTGTCTTCCCTCTTGTTGGGAATGGCCGTTATTTTTTTCCTTCTATGGATTATAGGTTGTTTTAACAATGTTCCTCACATTTTTCAGGGAGATGCTGGAAATGGGAGAAGACGTAGCCACCTGCCCTAGCTGTTCCTTAATTATACGTGTTATTTATGATCCAGATCTATTCACCAATTTAGAAACATTGACGACGTCACTTCCCGGAACAATGATATCTGATACTGCATAGTTCAAATCATTTATTACACAACGCTTTCACTTTTGATTGTGTTTGAGAGTTTATGTGATTTCTTCCTTCATAAGCTGTCTTATTACTCTGACGCACGGGTAGTTTAGATGAAAGTTGATCTGGAATGTAAATTCTGTCAGCCTTTTTTCATCTCCATTTTCCGTGTGATTTTCTTTTCTGTTAATTGTGTTTGTTAGTATTAATAAGAAATTTTCACCTGAAAACTATAGATATTTCATATTTGAGATTAACAAATACGTACTGATTACCCTCTGCTGATTGACGTAGCCTATAATTAGATTGTTGATCTTGCAACCGCAACTAGCCACTAGAGCTGTCTGTGGAACTGTCAGTTCACATGATTCCTAAAGGCAAATGAAAATTCAGACTCATTGTTGCACTGGAGGATTCACTCACTCAGCCTTTTCTAACTGACCTTAATACGCCTTACAATACAACATACAACTTAAACCTCGTAACGTACCTCTGTAATGGGCAACGATACAGCCTAAAGACGATCTTAACCTTGTTGTAAAAGGGCTGGTTAACGGCTTCACTTACCTATATATAATAGCTGATTTCTATATGTAGATGATGGAAGTTATCCTAGTTGTGGCGTTGGGTGTTGGTGATGATGAGTGTGCTCTCGGGGGACGGGGCAATCAGGCCTAATCACCCGTCCTAGCACGCCTTCGACTCTGTTTGGACCTGGAGCTAGATGTGCATGTGTTATGACCCTGCTACCCGCTTCGTCACTTCTTCCTCATCAGCGAATGCAACTTCTCCTTCACGAAACCTGGTGAAAATGTAGTTGAGGGAGGGGGGGGGGGGGGGGGGGGGGGNGGGGTACTCACATAGCACTGATAGTGTAATAACGGCAAAGCAGTAAAGAACAAATAACACTGTTAGTGTAAAAAGACATTAACCGGTGCTAAGTGTTAATCTGTATCATACTTGCATTATATCAGAGAAGAGGAGCAAGGCAAGGCGCTTTAATGTTGTTTTAGCCAGGGAAATGTAGTTTTTCAACTATGTCTAAGGAGGTGCGAAAAGCTGAAAACTCGCCCCTGGGGCTTCTTCCCTCCCAAGACATAGTTAAAAGATTGCATGTCTTCTCTACCCCTCCTCCCCCTCCACCAACTACATTTTCACCCTAAGTTGCCTCATGACATTAGAATCCTCCACGAAAATCGCCTTTCTTTCTTCGAATCTGAGTTTCATCTGTTTTGAGTCGGTTTGGGAAAGCTGTTAGAATTTCTAATACATGTTGTAGGAGCTTCATCAGAAAAGGGTTAACGTTCTTCCCAATAACGTGTATTCCCTGAATACTAAACTTCTTCTCAGTGATGTGGGGTTTGGAGTAGGTTTTCACTTTATAGAACAAAGTCGCCGCACTTTNTTTGTTCCCATATACTCGATATATGTTTAACAGAAGCATGCAAATTGAGGTATGCGACACATCCGATATACGTGGGTAGCTTGCCATTATTACAGGCATCTTGAACAGGAGTCCTCCCTTCGAAAATGCGCTCAAAAGTACAAAGAAATTCCTCGAAATATTGTTAGACGTGAATTTCCAGAACGGCTCTTCAGGCGTTCATCTAATGTCTCTAATACGTAACGTACAGACAATGTAATAGACAATCAGACTAATACATGTTATTAACATACGTACGTGACTGTATTAGCAACGCGCTCAAACTCAACTCAACTTTGCATATCAGCTCAAGGGTCTTCGAAGAGAGACACTTCTAGGTTGTTTGTAGACTCTCTGCTTCCCTAGCACTATCGTGAAGTTTTTTGACGCGCCGGTTGTATTCTTCAACGGTAACGGAACCTTCTCAGAAACTCGCAAGGAAAGCGAAGTGGTTCCTGTAGAAAAAGATCCTAAGACTCCGTTTCCTGATCTTCACAGCTCTCTCTATGCAAAAACAGAATCAGGTGTGGAGGAGACGATCCTATTTAGAACCAAGGAACAACAGTGATATCAGTCAGGCAAAACCTTCGACTGAAAGTGCGTGGTCTATTTCATCATGGGACTGTCCACTACTAAGCGACTTCCATNTCCATCACAAATGGGAGGGCTTCTGGAACTGCGAGATACTATGGATAGTGTGAGTCGACACGATGAACACGGACAGCCTTTCACCCTGCTCATTCCATTCCATTCTGTGAATCTCGATATGCAGCTCTTCAGCAGTTTTTCTGAAGTCAATTTTTGCGTCGAAATCATTGACGATGGCCTTGAAGAGAAAGGGTCTTTTTGAAGAAGATTTCCAGACTCATATAAAACGCTTACAGCTCCTCATCTTCCTAGCTTGTTGGTGCTTAGGCAACGGCGATTGTAAGAGGTGGGGCTGAGCCACATCTTCTTAATCGCAAAAGTCCGACTCGGGTTGCTAAGCTTTCGTACGAATGTATGTACATGACAAAGTTCAATAGATGAGGCACCTCGTTGCCGAAGCCTCTGCTGCGACGCGTATGTTTAAGGGAGCAGGTTCTTCTCCAGTTTTTACCATTACGTATAATGGGCGATGCCTTCTCGTGTCGACCAGTCTGATGATGTCGTAATTAACCTTTCTAGTTGCATTATCAGATCTTCAATACACGCTTCCAATGCAAGCGTCCGTGCGTTGAAAGTACAGCAATCGCCATCATAGTCATCCCCCTTTAAGGCAACTTGCCTTGGTTCTGAGATTTTAGCAGCATCTCCCGAGCGGTCCTACCTAACTATGTCGTATTGGAGGCCCCCCAGGTTTAGGAGAATGAGGCTCATCTACGTTACTGCTTTTCGCACATGGGTACCCGCGAGTAGCTTGCCGGGCTGGACGTGGGGACTGGATGACTTCGGGTAGTTAGCCAGGACTCGTTCTAGAGAGGGCGAGAGGCTTTAATTTGAAAGGCGGCCCAGGATCGCCTTCCGGATTCTTCTCAGTCGTTCGGATGCAAGCCTTCGGCTGTTCGATGGGCAGAATACCAACTACTCCTGCAGGTTCTCCACACACGTATGCGTGGATACATCTGCAAGATGCAGAACTTATGTGAGAGACAAGGAGTCTTACCTTGAATCCAAATGCGTCTCCGGGCAAGTATCGGGGACTTTTGATCGACGATTCGCTCCCTATCCGCCACCTGGGGACGCCCTATGTAATTTCCTCGCTAACCGTTCGAGATCCTTCAGTGATAGAGAGGCCTCTGTGAAGGAGATCCGTAGTTACAAAGAGTATGGTAACAAATATTTGTCTCCTTCTATACTTTATTTTGTGATTCTCTTAATGTCAGAAAGCGGGCTGCAATTTAATACTCTGAAATGCCTGCCTCAGAGTAATTTCGTGTTTTTATTTCCTGCTCGCAGTAATTGCCATTGACTTCCCTTAGAGGACTTCTCCGTTTACGTAAGTTCAGGAAGTATTGCTCTTCTCAACAAGAATTACAGCTTTCCCTCTGAGAGACAGTCTAGCGTTAACATCTGCGGAACTCACGTGTTTGGGAATTTCTCTTGTTCAGTAGATTTCGGGATCACTTGGAAGCGAAGTGATTACCTCTGATCCAGCGTCCCCTTGCTTCGTCTCAGTCCATTTGTGTTTTTTAATTTCCTTCGCTTCCTCTGTACTTCGTAATGCATCTTGGGCGACTAAAAGTTGGCAAAAATTAGCAATCCCTACCTCTAATTCACCATCCTGCGGGTCCTATTTCAAGGGTACTTGGAAATATATAACCTCTTGGGCTCCGCACACTAACGTGCGTGCGTCGCAAAAAAGAACGCGTCGGATGGATATTATCAGAGCTCCACTTCGATAATCTGAGCAATGGGCTGTGATGGGCTGAGTTTTTGCAGAAGAAAATCGACATTTCTCCGCTTACTACGGATGAGTCTCCTTCGCCCGATTTCTTGGTCTGTTCCTGAGCTCTGCCCTTTGTTCGCGGTGTGCGGGCTTGATAGAGCTAAGTATTGAAGATTTCTCATTAGATCGCTCATTCCGGTGAATGTTCCACCCTTAGTTAGCGATGATTCCTAAAACTCATCGTCATAGGTAATGACTAATGATGATGACTTCACACGTAGAACGACATTGAAACTTTGGGGGTAGTGCCGTGAATTTTTAATCTTCGCTCCGCCCATCTTGGTGCAAGTCCAGCCCTCGTCAAAGATTTGACCACATTCCTCCCATAGCTTCAGACCGCTTTTGAACAAAGTTATTAATTTTTGGTCTTGACCCCCCCCCCNCCCCCCCCCCCCCCCACTTCAGTCCCAGCCCGGCCACTTCTAAGGTTTGACCACATTTGTTCTGTTACCTCTTACCGGGTCTGAGAACTTCCCCCTTACCACGGCGTCGCACACGCCGCACCCGCCGCGCATCGCAGGATTGCGATGGAAGATTGGAGTGCGCAATTTGTGAGGTAGGGAGACCTTTAATTATTTGAATTGGCTGACCGCTTTCTTCAATTTCAATGAATTCTTGATCGTCGCTTACATAGGAGGAGTCATTTTAATTAATCAAGCCTGATAAACATGAAAACGAAAAAGAAACAGAAGAAAAAACGACCAAATCCAAAAAAAGCAAGGCAATCAACGAAAAATATCGCGTCCTGTCGATTGGCGGGAAGGCGGGGTGTGTACGGTAATTGCAGTGACATTTGCCGCATGCCGCAAGGGAGAATGCCGCGATCGGGGAAAAGTTCCGTTACCCCCTGTTACCACTTTTTCCGCATCACAGAACACCTCTGAAAAGAGGCGTCAGTTTTTGATCTAAACCCCGCCCTCTTAGTGCCAACCCGCCGCATCCGGAATTTGACCACATTAGTTCCATTACATCCTACCACTTTCTTTCAACGTTCTAGAAATTTTTTGATTTTGATTCTATTTATTTTTTAAAAATAGCTTCCGTTTCAACGCGAGCCCCGCCCATCGTGGGCGGAGCTTCGATAAGTTTACGCATGCTCAGCATTTAGCGAAGTATGTGGGCCTTGCCCAGTCCTTTTGTCTTTATTTCTGGCCTCCACGCCTTCATTGAGTTTATAAGTTTATGATTTATGAGTGTGTATGGGAAGTACCGCCCACTGCAAGAACACCCTACCCACCATCGATGAGTCCCCCTCAGTTCATTTGTTACCCACCACTCAACTTTACTCAATTTTTCCTTGCGTGTGGACTGTTAGGAGACCGTGTGAGAAAAATTTGTCCACGACGCCGCCCACTCCCGTGCATGTCCCGCCCCACGTAGGCGGAGCTCTACTGTGCTCACGTGTGCTCTTTTGGTCTTGCCCTATGCTCAACCTATTCCAAACTTAACCGACCTCTCCAGGTGTTCCTTCAGGTAGATTCGAATTCGTGACTGGCAGACAGAAGCGAGCGTTTTATATGTGCTAGGGATTGCAAATTGCTACCATACAACCACCACGACAAAGTATGGTTATGCAAATCACAAAATATGGCCAGTTTCAAAGTTAGAAGCCGATAAAAGTCTAAGTCTAAAAGTTGTTGCGTTGATCAATCCTATCTGAGGGATGTCAGGATCGTTGTGGCGTACGGAATGTGCTTGAGGCCTACACAATGACTTGCGGGGGCCAGACGATATTCAAAGCAGTGCTTTCATCCTCCCAGACAATCTGTTATCAATTAAACGACTTCGGAGGGATGGAAGGCCTAGTTGACCGGGGGGAGTATGATGATGGATCCGAACTCGTGACCATGCGTGTGGGGTGTGCCACTTGCCACCACACCGCCTCCGTCTTTGGGTGTCATACAGACATTGGAAAAGGAGACCCCGAAATACCTGTATCATCTGTCGTTTCGCTGATCATCGATTTCCTCGAGCGGGCGCCAGTAACGTCTCCATTCGTCCCTGTAACGAGCCAGAGTGGTCCAGTGAATCGTCCTCGCTTCAGTGGCACGAGGTCCAACGTTCCTTTCGTCCGGAGCTTTCGTGAAGAAGTATGACCATCTCATAGGTGGCCGTCCTGGAGTTCGTTAAGAGTCCCGAGGGATCTAGTCAGTAACCGTCCTGGTCCAACGGTCATCACTATATCGCATAACGTGTCCGGCCCACCTGGTCTTCGATTTCTTAATCAACGGCATCC